AAAGGAATTTTTCCTACACATCCCTCAATATACTGATACTGATACTGAACTCAAGAACGGTAAGTTGAACCTCATGTTAATTGAAGTAGGCGACCTCCTAACTACCATTCCGATTTTTCGGGAATTTCAAAAAACCTGCAATTTGATTATCGGGTTTTTCTGCAATATGTCAAAAGATAATACAGAATAGGAAAGTCTGCTGATATAAACCGACAACCTGACAATAAAATAAAAATGCAAATGGCAGTTATTAAAGTATTCTCAACGGCGTATCCCTATTCCCCACCCATAATACCCATAAACCAACTTTTCCTTAGGACAGTATACTGGGAGTGCGGATTATTGTGGGACTACATAAGTTACTGTTGCCCAAACTCCTACAGGAGTTCATCGTCACAGGTAAGAGCAGTAAAAAGGGAGCAATTATAGGTGGTGTTGGAAATGCACACCGACCCAAAGTTACCATGCGCAGCAGAGTGAAGAAGGACAAAGACCGGTTTAATCCTAATTTCTAATCTGGGGGTAGTGTATCGCATCCAATGCCTAAGCTGTCCTTGTAATTACGCAGGTCAAACTGAACGCATGCTCGGATCGCGCATGCGTGAACATAAGCTGGCTGTACGATGGGACGACAAACTATTGCAAGTCACGGCTCACATCTAGGAAACGGGTCATGAGTTTTAATTCGCAGCCGTCAATATACTCGCCCACGCCGGAATCAAGACGTGCCGAGGACTGATTGAAACCTAGTCCATGAGTGAGAACTCAAGTGATCGATGTATCGATTTGACCCCGGCGTACAGAGCTCTACGCAGCCACGTTCAGACGTGCATCAGTGGTAGTCGCTTGGTGTATGCCGCCTATAATTGTTCCCTTTTGGTTGCTCTCTTACCTGTACGAGTTTGAAAGGTCAGGACAATAAGCCGACTGTTCCGGTACTCCTTTATTTCTTGCAGCTAACCGGTACTTGTAATTTTAAATTAAACCGACTAGCAGAACCTCAAAGCAAATCCTGCGCGTTTGGGGCTGCCCATGATCTTGCATACGCCAGAAGCAGCCGAAAAATTGGGAGGCTCTAGTACTTACAACTAATACTACAACGCAGCTATGAAGGTCACCCAGCGCGTGCCTTATATACCAGCCGATCTCCCGCCCGTAAAAAGTACAAGTAATTAATTACCTTATATTTGCCCTAATTTTGTTTCTGGCGATTGTACCTTAGGTGCATGTGCAGTGCGCAACGCAGTCAGTCAGTCAGTCAGTGCCATTCGGTGGGGGAAGCAAGACAAGGCGTAGTTCGGAATTCACTGTAGTGCGTTTTCACCGATGACCGGTTTTCCTAGTTTACAGTGCCAATACGTTATTGGAAACGGGTTGGTTGTGCTGGTGATGGGGACAATGGTGGTGGTGGTTGACATCGTCCATCGGTCAATACATGCATCTCAAACACTGGAAAAACTTTGATTGCAACAAATGCATACACACATATTCACATGGGTTGAGTTCAAGATCTGAAGTCGAAGACTCATCGATCCTCCTCCTCTGCCGCGTGCTCTTTAGAGTGGCTTCCTCGTAGCGGCCTTTGGACTGTGGATCGTCGGTTCATGAGTCGTTGCGTAGGGGCCCCTTTAGCACGGTCGAGGACTTTCTTAGGGGTGACTTGGGCATTATTATTGCTGTTATTGTTGTCCAGAACTTCAAAGGCTGGCTGCTCAATTGTGATCTCATCCTTGTCTTCCGTTTGAACAGGCGAATTGGCATCGGAACTATCGGTGTTTTCTTGACTCTCGGAATTGTTGCTTCGGCCTAAAAGATGCACAATGGTTCAGGCCTATTCGCAAAAGCAAGCAAAAGTAGGAAATACACTTTAGTTTCTTTCAACAGTTTTCGTCTGTACCTGTCTCAATTGTCCTCCCTTGAGCGGCTTCTTCTCTTTCAAATTCCAAGGGAGTTTCTTCACCCTGTTCCTTAATGATCAAGAACAAAAAGGGACGTCTGATACTTTGGAAAAAAAAAGTTTATTAGAAGAACGTAACGCTGTAACGCGAAATAAGCCTACCGTTGTCGCAGTCGGCACCTCCACTGTTACCTAATTTTGAGAGGGTTAAAGACAAGTAAAGCATTTTCCAGTACGTTACTGCATGTAAGTAAGCAACTTTCAAAAACATTTTATCTCTCATAGCTCTTTTTTCGGACTATATTTGAACTTAAGAGAGGTTTAGTATGAATTCCATCATTCGTAGAGTCTATCCTGGTTTCTGTCAGTCTAACATAGCCCGAGCGTCGGGTCGCGCTTTTATTCAGCAAATTCGCTGGCAAGCTTCTTTAAGGCAACACCCCCCTCTGCTGCTCTTTTTTCCCACGTCGACTAATTTCTCCGTCCGCGATTGTGTCAACGAATAGAAAGCGACCGTTTAGCTCGAGAAAAAAAATCGTGCGGCTGCATGCATATGCATAATTTTTGTGACAGGAAGCTAACGAGAAGAAATTAGCTCAAACGAAGCTTGCAAACTGGCTGTCGTGGTGGACCTTGCACGACGATCAAACTGATGTTGTACTGCAACTAGCAGCCTTTCAAACAGAAGCAGGCGCAACTAACCGCCTTCATCTAAGGATTGCAAACGGATCGATCGTACGTCGAGTATGACTGTTATCTAGACCACGTTTAAAACGACTGCTTTAAGGGGAAAAGTCATCGAAATTATGGCGGAGAGAATGGTTAGTCGGGCAAAAATTTGTTACATCCGTGGCGATTGTTTGGGACGACTGTCTTGTTGCGGCAAACGCATTTCGAAGGTATAAGGCCAGATTGAACAGTCTTGTTAGCAGGTGTTTCAGAAGACATCTAGTGAACCTTATTAGACATTTCTAGGCCCCTGTGATAAGTAAATTTTCCCCTTTGAACGTTCAATTATTTTCCCAGAAACTATATTTATGCTCTCATTAAGCAAACGATGGAATTATGTTATGAGAAAATGACTGAATATACAACTGGAATTGCAAGAAGATACCGGTTTGAGTAACTATATAACAAGGAACAATTTACGCAGACGTAGAGTTAGAACATTATATTGATAAAACTTTATTTTTCTGAGATCGATTGAGGGCTGTTGAGGGTTTTACTGGTATGATATCCGTTAAAGTTCAAAGGGTAACTTTACAAGATTAAAACAAATACAAATTGTATGAGATATAAAGGAAATGAGACTACTAATTCATTTCTAAAAGATAATTGTGACGGCTACTAGAACTTCGGATAACAAGGATCCTCTTCCACTTATAAGACAATATAGTAGGACCCTACTTTCTAGTCATAACCGTTCTACTGATTTAGCCATAAAGACTTCAGTGTAATTTCTGGGAACATCAAACATTTTGGACTGTTCCAACGCAGCCGAAACAAGGACTTTATACGGCACTGTCTACAGTTAGTACATTTCAAGATGCAGGCTGTATAAAAAGGGTTCTGTTCTTTTGGAAATAAAAGAAAAAACTGCTTACGTTCTCAGTTGGAGTGTCACCCGTTTGGTCTGGTGTTAACGATGACGTCATGTTGGGCTGACTGCTGTGCTTTTCAGTTCGCCTACTTAGGCCGTTCTTTCGCTTTGCCAGTACCTAAAACATGTCAGTTAAGAATTATCGAAGGCTACTAAATCTATATCTTGAGTTAGTATTTTTTTCTTCCAAAATCTGTCATCTGATAATGAGTCTTAAGTACTATTTGTTTTGAATCGTGAACAACTGATGTGATTATTTACGGTGAACTAGCTAATTAATTTCAGGATTACCTCCAGCGTAAGTGGTGGATCTTAGAAGTGGGATTATAGTGTAAGTGACTATGATCTCTGAAGTTGGTTAGATGCCTTTCAGGCTCTTAAGTATTTTTATCTCACAAGTAAATAGTAGAAGGCATTGCGCGATCTTATCTGGGATGAATGTTTTTCATTTTATCATGACTTGAGTTTAATTCGGATGGCACATTTCACGTCCTTTATTTATGTCTGTTTTTGGTATCGGCATTTTTAATTCACTGGGACTTTGAGCATACCTCTTTTGTCATTTATAACTTTATCACAGAAAGTATTAAAAAATAAAGTATGCAAGTTATTTGTTGATCTTACAACCCTCTCGTTAAACGTTTTGTGATTTAAAAGCTTACCTTTAACCTCTTTTGTTCAGCTCTCTCCAGCTTTTCATTTAATTCTTCCGCAGTTAGTTTTGGAGCCCCTTCTAACGGTTCTAAGTGCTACAAATGGATTTTAGTTAAATGGAATTCTTTATTTCGTTACTTTGAGGCGCTTCGGAAGCTGCCTTCTGGAGGAGTCAAGAGTGGGTTCCACTACACCATCAAGATTGACCTCGAATGCCACGAAGCCCTTTTTGCCCTCCGTTTTCGGTATGGTTCCATCCGCATTTGGTTTTCCTGAGGGCTGCAGCAAGCCTTGTGTATCCGCTTTAATAATTATCGGTTCCTCAGAGTTCTCCAGGTCCTTGAAACTCGAATGTCTGTCAATGGCTGGAGATCGTTTTTCTGTTTTAGATATATCTGAGTCCTCGTTAGT